GTACCTGGTTCTCCAGGGATTTGAGGTGCCGCTCTGACTCCCGGATCTCAGCCAGCTGTTTCAAGGCCTGGTCCATCCTGTGTAGGGGGAGGGAATGGGGGTCACTCAGGGGTCCCCCCAGCCCCTCTACCTCAGAGCTTCTGCCGCACCCCATCCCAGGCTCCATCAGTGACCCCCTGTTCTTTTCCCACCCCCTCCACTTTCTCTATGTCTCCCCTTGCCTGGGGTTCCTCCCTGCACCCCGCTTTCCCCCCAGTGCCCCATATCCCCCCCCATAGCCCCGCCTCACTTCTGGGAGGTGCGTTTCAGGCGCTCGGTGTCACTCTCACGTTTCTGGCGCCTCAGTGCTACCAGGTGGTTCTCCTTCTGCACCGCCTCCCATGTAAGCAGCTGCCCATCCTGCTCCTCAGATAGCTCCAGTGCTGCCAGGGACCCAGGCATCCGGGCCGGGGGGAGAGGGACCATGCACACACGTAAGAACCATGCAGGCAGGGCATGGGAGCTAACATGGGGAAAGGGGCTGAAAGTAACTTACAGTTGGGCCTAGTTTAAAAAGCCTGGGACTTCCCAGGGCGTGGGGTGGGGATGGAACAGGGAGTTGGGGGGTGCTGCAAATTCACGTGAGGGTGGGGGCCCAGATGTGTGCATTGGCACAACAGCAGAGACTTGCATGAGGGGGAAGGCACAGGATATGTGCCAGCTCGCACAGTGTGAGTGTGGCACTTCCAAGCTCACCCGGGGGGGCGAGGGCACTTGAGTGTGCAAGGTTGCGCAAGGGCATGGGTACAGATGTGGGCTGGCTTGCACAACTCAGGCATGGGCTCCTGCACCTTTCCAAGCACCCCTGTGCTCGAGGGTGGGGGAGTGTGAGCTCGCATGAGAAGGGAGGTCATGTGCATGAGCTTGCATGGGGACATGGGCGCACATACATTTCACATAGGGAGGGGGAAGAGCAGAACACAGGAAAGGGGGAGCCAAGCTGAGGACAGTGTCAGGGTCAATCAACCCAGTGCCTCCAGCCCTTCAGTGAGATCCCCAATGCCAACCCCTCCCTCCCCACCCCAGCTCTCCTTCCCCTCAAACTCCCCCAACCCCAGCTCCACCCAACCCCCAACCCCTTCCTTGCAAGCTCCCAGCTCCCACCATGTCCCTTCCCCACCCCCTACCCCCAGCTCCCCCCCAGTCCCCTGCTCCTTCTGCACCCCACACCTGCTCCCAGCTCCCCTGATCCCCGTGCTCACAGAAGTGCCGGCTGCGGGAGCAGCGGGTGCGGGGGCGCAGCAGGGTGTACAAATGGCTGAGCAGGATGAAGGGGGGCGCCAGGGCAGGACGACTGAGGTACTCCAGGATCAGGCTGTAGCGCTGTGACCGCCAGTAGATATCACTGTTGCCCTGCACCTTAGAGAAGGTGTAGCTGGAAAAGGGGGGGGGTGGGGGGTTAGGTGGAGGAGGACCCCTACCTCCCTGTCCCCCATGCTCATGGGCCCCTCATACACTCGTGACATAGGCCCCTTGTGTGTTTTCAGGGCTCTCACATGCTCACAGCATCCCCCACTCATGCCCCCCTGGCATGCTGGTGATCCATCGTGCCCATGTGCTAGTACACTGCCTTACTGTGCAAACACACACGTGCTGTCTGCTTGACATGCTCCCTACCAACAGGCACTGACACCTGGGATCCTTGCATACATGCCTTACACAAAAGTGCCCGGGGACTTTCATGCACCCATGCTACACATGAGGGCTTGGGATCTTCACACACTTGCACAACACACGAGCCCGGGATCCTCATATACCCCATGCATGAAGGCTTGGGATCTCACATTCACCCTGTGCATGGGGGCCTGGGATCACTGCACAATTGTTCTGTGTAAGGTCTTGGGTTTCTCTCACACTCACCTCGCACATGGCCCTGGGATCCTCACACACATGCACTGTACACAACTGCCTGAGATCCTGTCACATTTGTCCTCTGCACAAGAGCCTGGGAGCCTTGCACACTTGCCCCAGACCTGAGGGCTTGGAATCCTCTCACACTGTTCACTCCACATACAAGGGCCTGGGATCTTTACACACATGCCTCACACACAAGGGCCTGGGATCCTCACACACACAACCCACACACAAGGGCCTGAGATCTTTACACATGTGCCTCATGCACAAGGGCCTGGGATCCTCACACTCTCACCCCACACACAAGGACCTGAGACCCTTCACACTTACCCATGCACAAGGGCCTTGGTTCCTTACACTTGCCCTGTGCACAAGGGCTTAGGATCCTTGCACTCACCCCATGCATGAGGGCCTGACCTTCTTCCACACCCATGCCCTGTACATGCATCTCCCTCCCCCTCCCACCTCAGCAGTACCTGAACATGGCGATGAGAAGGTTGAGCAGCAGGATGTTGGCGACGAGGAGGAAGACAACAAGGAGAACCAGCACCAGCCAGTTGGCATAGGTGCTGGCACAGTCCTCCGCCGCACTCCCTGTGCAGTTGGTGGCCTTCATCAGGGCCGCTGTGGGGAGGGGAATGGGGGTCAGTAGCCCACAGTGACACCCCTAAGCCCCTCATTAAACTCAAAAGAGAAGTCTACACCAGTTGGAAAACGGGAAGCATCACCAAAGAGGACTACTCAGCACTACCCCGCACCTGTAGGGAGTGGTCCAGAAAAGCCAAGGCACAAACCGAACTCAGGCTAGCTACAGGGATCAAGGACAACAAAAAGTCCTTCTTCAGATATGTGGGAAGTCGAAAAAAGAAAAAAGATAGCATTGGGCCCCTGCGAGATCAGACGGGACAGTTGACATCCGACACCCAAGAAAAGGCCAATCTCCTAAATGACTTTTTCGCATGGTTTTTCACCCTCCCAAGAGAATCACACTGTTAGAAAGGACAAGAACCATCCTGGGAACAGGTGGCAGGCCCAAAATTGATGTGGATCAGGTGAAGGAACATCTTGAGAAACTGGACATTCAGTAGTCCATGTGCCAGGATGGAATGAACCTGAGAGTCTTGAAGTTGCTGCCAGACATCATTGCACCCCACTTGGCAAAGATATTTGAAAGTTTGTGGTGCTTGGGCAAGGTCCAACAAGACTGGAAAAGAGCCAATGTGGTTTGTGATCTTCAAGAAAGGGAGGAGGGATGACGCGGGGAATTATAGACCAATCAGTCTGATGTCCATCCCTGGAAAAATCCTGGAGAAAATTGTCAAGGAATCCATCAACACCATACTAATGGAAGGCAAGCTTCTGAATGCCAGCCAACATGGCTTTGTGACCAACTTCTACGACCAGATAACACATGCCCTGGACAAGGGAGATGACGTGGATGTCATATATCTGGATTTCAAGAAAGCTTTTGACTGAGTTCCCAACAATGTCCTCATGGCTAAGCTGGGGAACTGTGGCCTTGATCATCTTATGGTCTGATGGCTAGGTAACTGGCTACGGTATTGGATGCAAAGAGTACTAGTTGACAGGAGTAAATCAACATGGTGCAGGGTGATCAGTGGAGTCCCTCAAGGCTCAGTATTTGGGCCAGTACTCTTTAACATCTTCATTAACTATCTTGAGTCGGGAGTCAGATGCGAACTGGCAAAGTTCGTGGATGACACCAAATTATGTGGGAGGGTGGTCACACTGCAGAACAGGGTGGGGATAGAAGCCAACTTGGACACGCTTTCAAGGTGGGCTGACCAAAACCTGATGGCCTTCAATGTAGAGAAGTGTAAGGAACTGCACCTCGGTAGGAAGAACCCTCAACATACTTACAAGCTTGGCAGTGCTACGCGTGCTAGCACCACGACCAAAAGAGCCTTGGGGGTCCTGATTGACTACAAGATGATTATGAGTCACCAATGCGATGCTGTGGCTGGCAAAGCTAACCAAGCTGGCATGCATCTACTGATGCATCTCAAGCAAAACCAGGGATGTCATCCTCCTGCTTTACTCGGCTTTGGTGAGGCCACATCTGGACTACTGCATCCAGTTTTGGGCCCTCCACTTCAGGAGGGACGTGGAAAAGCTTGAGAGAGTCCAGAGGAGAGCCACTTGTATGATCCAAGGCCTGGAGGGCAGGCTGTATGAGGAGAGGCTGAGGGATTTGGGACTCTTCAGTCTGGAAAAGAGAAGGCTCGGGGGGACTTGGTAGCAGCCTACAATTATATAAGAGGAGTACATCAGGACCTGAGAGAACACCTGTTCACCAGAGCTTCCCAAGGGATAACAAGGTCTAACGGCCATAAACTCCAGGTAGGCTGATTTAGACTAGACATAAGAAAAATTTTCTTTATGGTGCATGTGTCCAGGGTCTGGAACAGACTACTTTCCCCCAGAGGTGGTGCAAGTACCTACTCTGGACTCTTTCAGAAAACATCTGGATATTTTTCTTGCTGGGATCACTTGATCCCAACTGACTTCCTGCCTATGGCAGAGGGGCTGGACTTGATCTCACGAGGTCCATTCCAGCCCCTAATGTCTATGAAATCCCCCACCAGGCCAGTGCTCCCCAGCCTGGGGCTGGATCTGTCCCCACAAAGGCCCTCACCATCCATCTCTTCCTGGGGGATCTGGCCGAAGATCTGCAGGTAGGGGCGGTAGAAGACACGGCGGAAGATCCAGGGCAGGCGCTGGTCATGTGGATGCAACAGCCCCTCCGTGGTCACCCCATAGGCTACCAGCCACACAGCCAGGAAGAAGAGGAACAGGAAGACATCCTTCACCTGTGGAGGTGGGGCGGGGGATCAGAGCCTGGCACAGGACCCCCAAATCCCCATGGGATGCCCAGTCTCCCAAGGGAACCCTTTAAACCCCCACATAACCCTCATAGCCCCATAGAACCCGCCTGAAACCTCACAGGACCCCTCAATCTCCCATGGGATCCCCAGAGCTACCATTAGAACCCCCAAACATTCAAGAGACCTTCTAATCCTGCACAGAACTCCCCCAAACTCTCACAAGACCCTCAGAGCCCCTCAAATTACCACAGGACCCCCTGAGATACCACAGAACTCTCCAAACCCTCACAGGACCCCCCAGAGACTCCATGGGACCCTCAGAGCCCCTATGGGACCTCTGGAGCAGACCACATAGCATCCCCCAAGCCTCCATGGCCTCCCTTAGACCAGGAAACCCAGCCCTAGCCTGGGAACCCCCCACAGCCCAGGGTACCCCTTCCTGATCCCCACCCCCACAGCACACAGACCTCCCTCACTGGCCCCAGCAAGGGACCCTCCCAGCATCCCATCCTGATCAGGATCCCCCTGTATCCCCTTACTGTAGGGCACCCGAAGTCTCGCCATGGCACCTGTTCCCCAACACCCATCAGAGCCCCCTTTTCTGGTCCTCTCCAAACTGCCCCACTCCTCACCATCTTGCCCACGATGATGAGTTTGGGGCCCAGGTTCTTGTTGACAGCGAAGATGTGGATGAGTCGCAGGGTGAAGACCATGAAGTCGAGGCAGAGCACCGTGCGCCCAGACTCGTATGTCCAGGAGGACATCCTGGAGGGACCAAGGGGGAAAGGCATGAGCCTGGGCACCCCCTGAAACCTTTCCCCAGGGATGCTGAGGCAGGTGGGACCCTCCCCCTTCACCAACCCTTTTCCAGCTGAGACCCTATGAGAGACCCTAGGGGCCCTCTGTACGGCTAGTACCTGTGCTTCTCCAAACCACATCCCCAGTGTGGCCAGCCCAGCCCTCCTCACAGCTGGGCCATGACCAGCCTCCCCCCAACCAGCACAGTGCTCAGGCTGTATAGCACATATGGGGCACCATTGCCTGGGTGGGGGGTCACGGTGCCCAGGCTGGATGGCACATGGGAAGCACCAAGCCTGGACTGGAAGGCACCATGCCTGGGCTGAAGACCACTAGGGGACGCAGTGCCCAGGCAGGGGGTGCACGTAGAGGGGGCAGGCCTTGCAGGCACAAGTCCCACGCCTGGCAGGCAGACCTCACCGGCATATGGCACCCATGAGGAAGAGGAGCAGTGCGGTGAGATCAAGCTGGTTCCAGGAGTCACTCAAGTAGGCACAGATGCGCTGGGGCAGGGGCTGGTGCCCAGCAAAGCAGCCCTGGCGCAGCTCCTCACATAGCAGGCTGAAGACCCACAGGTAGAGCAGGACTTCAGGGCCGTGGGGGCCTTCGGGTGGGGGTGGCGCGAAGTCCAGCAGCAGCACATAGGCGAAGAGCAGCAGGAAGAACAGGTACATCACCACGTTGCCCAGGAAGGTGGTCACTGGTGCCCCCCAGAACCAGTGCCATCGCTGCAGCCAGTCCTTACTATCACATTGGGTTGCGGGGCTCCCCACCACATCTGGCCTGTGGATACAGCATGGGGATGGGAGCAAGGCTGTGAGCTTCCCCACAGCAGTTCCCTGAGCTTCAAGGGGGAGGGTGTTCACTGTGGGGAGAGGGGCTGTGAGCAGAGTAATGTTGTGAGCTTCCTCATAGCAGTGCCCTGAAGGAAGCGAGTGAGGGTTGACTGTGGGCAGAGGATGTGAATAAGGGGAATGCTATGAGCTTCCCTACAGCAGTGCCCTGAATGTGTATGTGGGAGGTTGGGGGTCTGACTGGGGAAAGGGGCTGTGAGCAGGGGGATGCCATGGGCTTCCCCACAGCAGTGCCCTGCGCTGGGAGGGTCCAACTGGGGAGGGGGGCTGTGAACAGGGGGATGCTGTAAGCTTTGTCACAACAGTGCCCTGAGAGGCAGGGGTCATGGAGGTTGACCAGTGAGCATGAACTTGGGGTGGGGGGGCACTGTTGGTGGGGGAGGTGGTGAGTGCCAACCAGTGGTCGGCAACCATGCGCAGACACTGCTGGCAGCCTTGGCAGTGGCCAGCAGCAATCACGGATCGCCTGCAGACACTGCTGGTGGTGTTGGCAGCTGGGGAGGGTGGGGGTGGTGAGTGTTGGCATGCCTTTTCACAGGTGGTGCGCTGCCACGCTCAGGGGGTGCACATGCACCCCCTATGCATTACCAATGCCAGTGAGGAGAGGGGCAAGTCTGAGTATGGAGAGAGAACACTATGAGCTTCCTCACAGCAGTGCCCTGAGCAGGACTCAGGGGGCCTACCTGGTTGGGGGCGGGGGAGGAAGGTGTGAACAGAGAGTGGGGGGGGTTCCAACCCACAGGCGAGGAGAGGATTAAGTTGGGGAGAACAATGCTGTGAGCTTCCCTATATCAATGTCCTGAAAAGGGGGAGGGGAATAGGGAGGGGCGCGCTTGCCTTTTGGGGACAGAATACAACAGTACTTGGGACCCTCAATGTCTTGGGGACCCAGTTTAAAGCCCCCCTCCTAGCCCGCCACTGTACCCCTCCAGGCTGCCCCTCATGGAGGATTTTTCATTAACATCTATGCTGTTCAGCTCCATAGTGCCGAGGGGCTCTGGGGACCCTTCCTCCTCCGTCGACCTGCTGCAGCGGGGGGAGGAGACACTGAGATGGAGTCCCTGGTGCTGCGAGCTTCCCCACAGCAGTGCCCCCCATCCCCGCCCCCGCTACTGCACTCACCGGAAGGTGATGAGGTTGGTGAATATGAGCGGAGGGCAGAAGAAGGTGAGCAGCAGCTGCCACACAGGGGTGCCCCGGTTCATCTCACCCCACCAGTTCTGGGTGAGCAGCACCTGTGGGGATGAAGGGGGGTCAGTGCTTGGGGGGTAGGAACTTCCTCTGCTCTCACCACCCACCCATGACCTCCATGAGGAACCCCTCCCTTCATCCTTCCCCCTCCCCCCATCCACTGATTCTTTTCCACCCAAAGACTCCCAGGACTCCCCACCCCGGCAAAGGCCTCTCCTGCCTCCTCTGACCCCCTCCCCTGGGGACACACCTGCACAGCATCATGGGCAAAGAAGCTGCGGGCATCAGCCTGGCGGGCGAGCTGGAGGCAGGTGGCACCACCCCAGAGGCAGGAACGACGCACCAGGAGCTGCAGGACCCAGTGCTCGCTGCTCCGGTAGCACTCACCCACCATGCCTGTGGAAGAGAAAGGGTTCAAGCAGTGTGTTTCCCTGACCCCCTCCTCTCACCCTGTCCCCAGCCAGGCCTGGGGTTGGGAAAGGATAAGGTGGGACGCTCCCCTCTCACCACAGCTGTGAGAGGGAAAGGGTTAACAGGATAGATGCACACAGATTAGACACACACAAACTCCTCACCACCCACCAGGCCCATGGGAATGAAAGGTTTAACATGAGATCTCCCCACCACTCTCCTATCACCCACCAAGCCTATGACAGTGAAAGTGTTAATGTGGGAGCTCCCTTGACCCCCACCTCTCACCAGAGCCAGTGGAAGGAAGGGGTTAATCACACACATGCACACGCATACACACTATTGCCCCCAGGCCTGTGGAAACCAAAGGGTTAATGTGGGACATGAACCCCCAGACCTGTAGGAATGAAAGGGTTAATGAAGGCAGCATGCCTGGGCCCAAACGCACCACACTTGTGGAAAAAAATGGGTTAGTGGTGCACAAGTGTGTGTGCACCCTGGACTCTCCTCACCCACCAGACCGGTGGGAGTGAAAGGGTTAGCATGGGATGCTCCCCTGACCTCCATCTTACTAGGCTTGGGGAAAGGAAAGGAAAATGTTAACAGTGCACAAGTGAGCCCTCACCCACTGTTGTGGGCACGCACGCGCACGTGCACCCCCACCACAGGTGTGTGCGCACACACCCTGGACTCCTCATCACCCACCAGGCCTGTGGGAGTGAAAGAGTTAATGCTGGACACCCCCTAGTACCCCCCTTTCCAAGATCCCCATAGGGGGCACAATTTGGGGGTGAAAGGTCTAACATGGGGCCCTTCTTCCCCCCAAGTCCTGGGGTACTCAGACCCCCCCACTGGCCCCCTCACCCACCTATCGCCAACCCCTCAAACTTGGCCGCCAGTTCCTTCATGGCCGCAGCTTCCTGTGCCTCCTGCTCCAGGTGCGAGAGCTGCCGCAGGATGGAGGCAGCCGCCCGGCCCCCCCGCCACTGCATCTGGGGCCTGGGGAGACAGCGGGTGAGGGGGGACCCCAAAAACCATCCAGCCCCCCCCTCCAGGGCCTATGGAATTTCTTGGGGTGGACCCCCAAATCCCGCCCAGCTCCCCACATCCAAGGCCTGGGGGTTTCCTAGCACACAAACGCCCTTGTACACTGGGGCCTCTACCCACAAGGGGTCTTTCATCC